ATATATATTAAAATAAATTAAATCAAATAGCATTAAATATAAATTTTGTTTGGATTTTAATAGCACAAATTGATTGAAAGATTTAAAGATGGTTAAGTTTCTACAAAGTTTTACAGAAACTTCCTTGAATATTTCCAATGCGCACGGATAAATATAAAAGTATTTCTTCAGTCTTTCTTCTTATTTCTTTGCTATGTTATTATAGAATGAATGTTTCAGAAATTGCGGTTGTGACGAAATATCTATTGTTTCAGTTAATCCGGATCATAGCAAAAGCGATGAACTTTAAAGCGAACTACTATATGCCCTTTAATATCGCGGACGATAAATGGGGTAAAGCGGGAGATAACGATAGCTATACAGGTCTCCTTGGCGAAGCGATCGCCGGGAAAGCCGATTTCTTTCTCGGAGATCTGCATTACACGATACACAATCTGAATTACTTTGATCTATCCACGTCGTACAACACGGAATGCCTCACCTTTTTAACGCCAGAATCGCTAACCGATAATTCGTGGAAATTATTAATATTGCCTTTCAGGTACGTCGTATCTGCAGAAAATTATCTTTTGTAAAAATATTATTTCTTCTATGATTTGTCAAAAAAGATTCTAGAAGGGTTAACAGCACGTAATTAATAAAATAGTACAACTTTTGCAGACTAAACGCATGGATAGCACTCCTTTGCACTCTGTTGATAGGCGGCGGAGGCCTCCACGTGTTCGCGTTAGTCTATCAAAAGTACATAGGCTCGCGTCCGAAACGCGACAACATGAAGGGTCTGTATTTGTTCACTGGATTCCAGAACAGCATGCTGTACACGTACGGTATGTTGCTTCAGGTTTCCTTGCCGCGTTTGCCGAACACCTGGACCGTGAGAATCTTCATCGGCTGGTGGTGGATTTACAGCATCTTGGTGACGGTCATTTATCGTGCTAGTATGACGGCCACCCTCTCGCATCCCGTTGCCGTGTACGATATACATATATATATATATATACAGGATATATTGTAAAACCATCAGATGTTCTATTCACTATTTTCTATTCATTGTATTATATAATTTTTCAGCCAATTTGAAGTTTTTTCGACAAAACATTCATATTCTTTAATTAATATCAAAAGAATTTTAACAAAATATTAATCTGAGTGTTACTGCTAAATCTAAAGATGATTATTATGCAATAATCAAGAAAGTACGATAAATAACATATTTGATAGTTTTTTTAGTGTCTGATTAATTGATTAATTGATCGTAAAAGATAAAAAATTGTCTGTGCGTGAGATAATTTACATTATGCTAGTTTAAGCTGTAATATTTTAGTTTTTGAAACTCAGTTATAACATAGAGGAGTCTTTATCGAAAAAGAATTTTTAAAAATTGTTATTTTTCAAAATTTTATAGACGTTAAATAGAGATGCTTTTACAATAAAACTTTTGTATAAAATATTTTTTTGATATCTTGAGTAGTTGTATCGAGATATATCGAGAAAAGCCGAAATAAGCTATATAGTATGAAAGATTGATTTGAATGATTTTTCTTAGAATCGTTTTTAGCAACAATCAAAAATTTCTAAATTTATCTATTTATTCTCTTTCCCTCTGACTTACATGTATACAAAGTTTCATTCAAATCAGAATTTCTGGGCTTGCGAGGTTTCTTTGTCAAATAGCACACATTTTAATAAAATATATACCTCTCGGATGTTTTGGTTTAAAAATACATCTTAATTTTATTTTCTTTGGAATTTAATGTTGTTTACTTATCCATTATCGCAGAGTCACTATCGATTCTTTGACGCAACTGACGAAATCGTCGCTGGCGGTAGGAGGATGGAACGAGGAAGGCAAGGAGTTTTTCCTTGTTTCTTCAGATCCGCATAGTCAGCAGATCGGCAAGAAATTTGAGTTGATCGAAAATGAGAAGAACGCCATCGACCAGGTGGCCAACGGGACGTTCTGTTATTACGAGAACTCGTATTTATTGCGACACATTCGCGGAAAACGGATATTCGAGGAAGAGAACGGTCAAAAGAACAAAAACGAAAAAAATACAGGATCGGTGAAGTACAATTTGCACATTATGGAGGAATGCGTCGTCCACATGCCGATCGCGTTAGGGCTGGAGAAAAATTCTCCGTTGAAGCCCCACGTGAATTTATGGGTATTTATTTGATAATATTAATCTGTAAAGATTAATGAACTACGTGAGATATTAACTATCTTAAATAATTTTTAAAGGATGTGCGAAAAAGAATATACTAAACAATTCAAAACTGCAAACATATGATGTTCTTATTTTTAGCAACAAATCCGGTGAAAGAAAATTAGTAATTTATTATTTGAAATTTGTGAAATTAAATTTGAAATTAAAAGTCAAGTAAATTTGTTATTTCTATGTATAGAATGCTTTTTTCAAAGACTCCAAATATATTTTGGGCGTTGGAGAATTAATTCTCAGTTACATTAACATATATTAATAATCAAGGATAAAAAAAAATCTCGTCTATAATGAAAAAAAATAATCGCGATACTTTTTTTTCGATAACAAGTAACAGAATTCAACAAAATCATTTTTATTTTGTTATTGTTCGAATCTACGCGGCATGATTTTTATACAAACAAACACATATAAAAAGCATTGAATTCTTTAAAAAATTAATAAACAGTGTGGACAAAATTGGACGATTTTTATTTTAAACGAGATCATGTAATTTTTATAAACTCATGTATATATTTAATGTGAAATTTTAATACATATAGGTGAGACGAATGACGGAAATTGGTTTAGTGCGCAAATGGCTGAGCGATGTCATGGAGTGGTCCAAGATCAACGAATCTCGGCAAAAATCGAATTCTGAAACAGCGCTAGTGAATTTGCGCAAATTGTACGGCGCTTTCATTGCTCTGGGAATCGGTTATTTTCTCAGCTTCGTAGCTCTACTTGGCGAAATAATACATTGGAGATATGTTGTCCTGAGAGATCCGAAGTATGACAAATATCATATGGATATATACTATAAGAACGATAATCAATTTAAAACTTGAGCAGCAATTTTTATCTTTACTCTTTAACATAAAACAATTATTAAGTAAGAAAAAAATAAAGAGAGAAGATTTATGAATTATTATTGATATTCTTGATTTTCTTAGCAGTAAAACATCAAAACGAAATATTAAAAAGATAGATATTAGATAAATATATTTCCTTTACAAGTTAAATAATTTGCGTGACCAGATATTGAGACATATATATACAGGGTGTCCCAAAGCACCCTTGACAACGCTCGTGAGCACGTAGAGCACAGTAAACTGAACAGAAAGGTCCTGTACCATTTTTTTCTATAACGCTTAAGAGTCGGCAGGAGTGACGGCCAAACTTCGAATTGATATTGGAGACCTCGCGCGGTGACAATGCGAAACTCCGACTTCAGGGTTACCAACCTGAGAAATAAATTCTCGATCTCTATGTAGAGGTATATGTTCGTATACGTACACACACGATTGCATTGCTCGCGTGGACGCACGGTGGAAAGGAAAGATAGAAAAGGATCAACGATCACGTTATCCTTGTTCCTCTAGCATATCGCTTTATAGCCGAGATACGACCTGAAAATGCTTTCTGGCCTCTCGTAGCAGAAAGCAGTAATGCAACAAGACTAATGGGCGCCCACTTTTTATAAATTTTATGTTTACTTATGCGCATATGTACAGATATTACTGCTTTCTGCCACGAGAGGCCAAAAAGCATTTTCAG